ATCAATCATATTTCAACAAGAATTTTGAAAAAAGAATGATTTACTTTATCGTAGTACAACATATGGCTAGATGTAGTTCATAAATTGAAAACCAACACCACGAATGCCATCTGAAGAAAATAAAAAAACAAATAATTCGATAGACAAACAAAACTCTGTACGAAAACGTACAAAGAAAAGAAGACGGAGAAGAAAGAGTATACACGTGATGAACATCACAAGAAGCTACTTGCACCTCTTGAGGGACGGGAGTTTGCGTGTGCAGTAAAACAAGTAAAGCTTACTTGTTTGAGATTTATTTCTATTATTGGCTGTTAGTTTTTTTTTATTTTTTTTTTATTTTCCAGCGCGTGATTAAAAAACCAATCAAACACGTGAATCTCAAACAAAAACAATCGCTACTGCAGTTCGCGTCGCAATAGAAAAACAACGCCCACGTGACACATCTATCAACGACCGCATAAGACACGAGCGATTCCTGTCTGCGATATTTTATGATTCTTTGACACTCGGTATCCTGCTGACTGGAGTATTTTGTTTTCGTTGGATCGCTTCATTTAAACACACCACCGCAAAATGTTATGCAACTGTTGGAAAAAAAAAACACTGTCTACGTACTCGTTTGAGGGTAGAATTTTAAATATGTAAATACTGTGAATAATTAATTCTGTTTTTTCATTAACTTTAGTATAAACCAAGTTTTAAGTTAATCAATTTGGTGCTGATACGGCTGCAGGAATTACATGTGTACATTACGTATGCCAACAAGCCCATGTGATGGCAGTAATCAGTATTCAATAAACGAATGATTATAGATTACACGTATACTAGTAAACAAATAAACGAGGAAAAGAAAAGGGGTAAGAAGAGGGATTATGTGGGCACGTATTACATTTGTGACAGGCTATTTTATTAACGGGATGTCCGTGAAATACATGCACCTGCGATATTGTACATTTGTGCGTGATATACTGCGCAAAACTATTGCCCAACACTTATGTCTGGTATAATGCAGTAATTGTGTATACTGAAAGGGGTATCCTATGTGACAGCAAGGCAAGTTAAAGGCCGGCTAACACCTCGTCACCAAAAATGACTTGTATAGCTCGTATTGACAAATTTTTAGATAAACATGAGTGGTATTCTAAATTAAATAAATAACAAAAATAATGAGAACTACCCCCCTTTCTGCTACCTGTATCTATGCAATTTTGCGACTAATTAACTGCACGTGTGTTTCACGCAGCAGAGATTGATGATGCACGTGAGAAATTCGATTATCACACCAATTCCTGTGTACGTAATGCGATAGGTACATATTTATATGTGTACACAAAACGATCGCGTGCAGTTAGTGCACCAGTGATTGGTCACGTTTTCTGCACCTATACGTATAGGTACGTCCTTACTAACTATAGGGCGAGTGTGCAATGCAACATATAAATTGGCTGAGCTTCGGATGAGCTTGGCATTCACGCACGTGTAAGGCAAACACGTGAGAATTACGTACATTACCGTTCGAAGATATATTCCATTCGATGAGGTGGATTATTGGCTGATGAGTCTCTTGTAGTTATTCAGATGCTGAGTGGTCGATGTGTTTTGTCAATTCAAGCTTATGGCATACTTTGCTGTGCTTCGAGCACACTCTGTTTATCAAATTTCAGGTATTCAAAGCTTGGTTCTTAGATCATAGTGATATTGTACATATATTGTAATTGTACGCAGGCAATCAATCTAACTTTTGAGAATATACCAAGTAAAAGTTTGACGTTCAAACTATCCACTTTGTTGGGGACGATTTGTGGATTTTCCAAGTCCATGTATAGTAGTGACATAAAAGAAAACAAAGCAAAGAAATTACACATGCTCATACAGCACACACGTACATAGCACAGAAAATTGCCATCGCTGAGTCGCAATTGCATTGTCATGCCCGTTCTGGACCTTGAGCTCGGTAATTGTAAAAACGCGAGTTTCCATCCTGGCTTCAAGAACAAATCGAAAAGCATTGTATTTTTGGAAAATAATAACAAATACAATGTCGTAGGAAACATCAAGCATGCCGCGTTTTTTTCGCTCGCGCGAAAATGTTTGTTCGATCGCGAAAATATATGACATGAATGCCAGCTCTCCATTGCTTACTTGAGGTCGTGATGCGGTTTGCATTGACTTATTCGATCACGACAAGACGGAGGGCGAAGTCGTGTTTTTCACCGCGCTCACGTGATGATACGTCCTCTTTCGGCCGACAAGTACCTTACAGTACGGCCTCGCGTGCCTAAAACTCTCGTTCGAATCCCAAATACTGTATATGTACTTACTTGTACATTATGCGAAGGCCTATCCGTACAGGGGTTGCACTCTGCCCTACACCTTGTGCTATCAGCGTTTTTTTTTTTTTTTTTTTTTTTCTTTGCAAGATTAGAAACTTGTACGGCACTGTGTCCGTGAATCGTTGTTCAAGGAAATGATCGGGGTAATCGTATAATTGAATTGTTTTCCAACCTGCTCACATCGATTGTCAAGCATCTAGAGGGGTGTGTTTTTTTCCCCCCTACAGCTCATTTCATTTGAAACTACATTCCTTTTTTTTTTTTTTTTTTTCAGCATGGTCAAAATAAAAATCCATGTACGTATATCAGCTCATGCCGTACCCATACGCAGCAAAAGTCGAAGATCCGAGGCGGCGTCGGTACATGACATCGACTTTAAAAAGAGAGCGGAGTAGACGCACAGCTTGAGGTTGCGACCGTCAGAGGCCGGTACTAAGCAGTATAGCCCAGCTCCGCGGAGAGCGCGCCCATATACCTTTATGAAAGTCGCGTGGGTATCACGAGGGAGATGGACGCGTGCACCTGCTACTCTAATGCATATTACTTACGATAGTGTGGGGCGCTTGCGCAGCTTCTTTGCTCTTGAGAAAAAATTTTTATCTTAATTGACCAAAATAGACATTTTTAAAGAAAGTCATAGTCAAAATCGAGTGCAGAACTCGCTGCGAATTTTGCATGTGTAGGTATGAAATGCACGTGACAGGGGAGGACGGGAATTCGTGAGCATGAATAGAGGGAGGTAGAATGGCAGAGATGTACCTATACACTTCTAAAGGAAGAGAGCGAGGAGGAGGAGGGCGGGCTTGGGTTGGTGTATCGATTAACCGTCAGGTTGGCGCGCGCCGTTTTCCACGAGGCAGAGGTGGCACGATATATATATTACCTCATACGATACACCCACGGCGGCCCTTTGAATTCGACCACCGACCATTACCACCAGCACTACTATACTGTATATGAAACCATACCACTATACATGCTAATACACGAAGGGATAATTGACAGACATATTCCACGGTAATGCCTTTACAGCCCTCCTTCCTCTTCTCTCCCCCATCCAGTTCTGTACCAGTGGTATATAGTTAATATAAGTATCAGTAGTGCACAGTGGGCACGGCCTAGTACACCCTGATATGTCAAACGGCTCTCTCGAGCGATATTAAGCGGCGAACTGGATCTACGTTTCGCACTCGCTTTCCCACCGACGTGATTAGCGAGTTCAGCTTCAGCGGAATGACCAATACAACGAGCGCACCATCCCTTCCCTCTTCTGATGTGTTTTTCGGATTTTCAGCTTCCCGGTTACCTTTCCCTACTTGACTACACTTGCGTCCCTCGGGAGCCAATGGCGAATCCTTTCTCAATCCTACTTGGGAAAAGTTTCGAGTGCTCGGAGTGTTGGGAGATCGTTTCCGTCTGTAGGAGCCTGGACCCGATGGACCATTGGGTTTTTTTTTTCCGGGGAGTATACGAAGGGAGAGCGATCGAAGGGAAAGGCGCTGATTGTCATCGGCGATAGGGGGGGGAGGATGGATTCTAATAGAAATTTATAATCAAACGAGTCCCAGGGGATCGGATCGGAAGATGATCTGGGGGGAAAGTTTACTTTACAAAGTTATAAGGCAAGCTCGAATCGATTGCTCGGAGCTCGCTGAAAAATGTAACAGCAGATTTGGATTACACAGCAGCAGGATGGTACTGTAAGTGAATGAAAAAAAAAAAAAAAAAAAAAAAACCATCAAGGAGAGTGGTATGTAAAATAGATAACACCCTGGCATTACAATTTGTGTTTGCAATCTACATTCTGTGTAGGAGGTATTATGGTTTTATTCGCACGTTGATGCATTGTTTATAAATATACTGCATGGATTAATTTATCAACGCCAATAACAATTAAAAATGTTTAGTTCAAAGGAAAAAAGGTCACAAAGACTCAGTTCATAGAAATGCAAAAATTATGTATTATCTAATTGACTCCATCACGACAATTAATGAATCAAACCTTCATAACAAAGTTTGATTATTAGTATAATACCCCTAATGACGACGAATCGGATAATTGTAACGAAATTGTGCGGTAATACATACTGCATGGACATGACACAATTTACATAATGTACATAAGGATTCAATGCATTGTACGAGCTAGAAAATTCCCGGTCGTTACGTTGCCCTTCATCCGTCGAAGTATTTTTTTATGGGACGCTAGAGGCCGCAGAGTCCGTGACGTCACCCATGTTACATTAAGGAGGGAATTTCAGGGAGTAAAAAGCTGCGTCTTGTTTACGGGAAATCCAATGTTTGTTCAATTGCTACGGATAACTAGATATACCCTGTCAAATGCACCTTAAGTTGACTCAAGGGGTTCGTAAGTGTGATTCATCAAAAAATTTACTGCAGCTGGACTGTAAAATATAAGCAATTTTACGACATCTATACTTTTCGGCTTTATCAGCCAACAACTAAATAAATAAACAAACCCAAACGATCCGTGGACAATATAAGGACTTATACGCGGTATCTTTTACGTAACACCTCTTTCAAGGCCAACTTCAAACTAATACACGCAGTTACCCATCGATCTAAGAGGAGGATCGAGATAAAATGAAAGTTACAAAAGAGCGATGTAACAATCGCATGTGGATAATGTGTGTTTGTACTCACCGCTATCAGCTCCGAGGGTTCAAGGACGAAGCACTCGTTCGGCCTCCGCGCGCTCCCGCCGGTCCGCTTGCCAAAACTGTAACGGAAACAGAAAAGGTCATTGGAGTCTTTACACCGATCAGCAGAAAGTCAGCTTGTAAATTTTTTTTTTTTCACAATTATACGATAATTTACTAAATTTAATTTGAGAGTCGATAAAAATTATTTCACCTGCAGCAATGTACAAAAGCTTTACAATAATGCTTGTTGTTTTCTTATCGTATATAATATATATTACATTTATTTTAGAAAATGATCCATTATACATACCAATTGGCGATTCAGATTTTAATAATAGCAATGCATGTATCGCACAGAGCCATACAGACGATCAATGATATGACATAGCGCAAAAAATGAAGGTGGAAGAAAAATTCGTAGCCTCGTAATGAAGCTTTATCTCTCACGAACGCATCGACGCACGATGCACGCGCTACTGTTTGGAATTCCTTCCTTAAGGTGTGCTGGAACAGCAACTCTCTAGCTCCTGCAACTGCGGCTCTCTTCGCTCGGCCAACTTCTCCTCCAACTGGCCGGCGATGCGTGGCCCCGTCTATGCAACGCGTCTCGCGTGGGAGGAAAGCGCATCCCCGTGGCTATCAATCCGCCGAGCAGATCGGAAGTTGTAGAGGTGTAAACGTAAACCGAAGATGTACGTGTACAGCGACAAGAGGAAATTCAAGGAGGTGGGGACTCGTTCTCACTTTCGCATCTCAAAAGGACTCTGTTCCTCTGTCAGGCTTGACTGCACCTGCGGATGACCCCTCGCTGGGATCGGATGTAATAGCGAACGAATAGCAGAGGGATGGGAGTAAGTATAGTGGGAGAAATACGGAAAGGACGGATAGATCGCTCTTGTGGAAAATGAAATAGAGTTCGAGGCGATTGAATTGTTGTTTGTTGGCCGGGGGAGTTTGCGTGGGTGCAATGTTTGGATACGCTTTACGGTCGAGAGGGAGGAAAAGAAATCGAGTGAGTCGGTGATTCGAGGGGGTCCATTATGTTTGCTGGTGTATCTGCGTTCAAATCGATGCTTGTGTTAGGTTTAATCGTCAATGTGTTGGTTGAACGTTATTTTGGTAAACATTAGATTTTCAGGACGAGTAGAAGAAGAAACAACTGGAAAAAAGGGAAACGATGATGGTCACGCGGAAAATTGCCAGAAAGAAGGAGTAAAAATAGTGAGTATGAGAAATCAGCTGATCAGAGGCTGCAGTCGACGGAGAGAAAAAGAGAGAGAGAGAGAAAGGAGAAGGACAACACAAGGAGTGCAAGGCCATTGACCTTCCCGCAACACAATCCACGTACTCATCCTCCTCTCTCTCTTTTCTTCTTCACTTTTTTTTCCCTTCAGTCGTAGATACGTGTTGTCGATGTACAGGTATACGTCAAATGTTATTATTTATACATCAAAGTCACTCGTGTCCCAAGAATTCGCGGAATCATCTGATTCTATCGATAGCCAAAGACAATAGTGGCTATGCTATCTCTCACAAAATTTTAATTCACAAATCCAAAAACTTTTATCAGGTGAAATGAATTTTGTGATTTCCAAGCAAACAAATAGGTACAGACGACAGAGAAAGAGATCCACTGAAGAGAGCTGCTCTCTGCAGTAAGTCAATCTGCGGTCCTCGTTAATTGCATCAGGAAACAATTCAAGATCGACCGTCCCCGTAGCTGTACTACTGTATATCTGCAATAATTAAGACCAGCAGCTCAAACGGACGACAAACGCCAGTTGTTCTGCAATACTCGGCAAAGAAGAACAAAAGCAAGAGAATTGTCTCTCTGTGTCCTTGCAAAAAGTGAAAAAAGAAAAAAAAAAAAAAATTGCAAAAAAACTATGTACATGTTCAGATGTTGTCACCTATACAAAAATCCCATTTCTCAGAACTCTCGCTTACCAAACGGAGAACCTGCGCCTAGGAAAAGCAGGCGGCGGTGGAGGCTGGGCCCTCAGTGGATGGGCCCTGTCGACGCTCTCGCTCCTCAGGGCTTGCACCGCCCTGGGCAACCTTGGCGCCACCCTGTGGTACACCGTCTTGTGGTAGTCGGTGGCGTCCTGGTACAGCAGCTGATCGACGACAGATTGCTGCTGGCGCAGCTCTGAGTCGCAGGCGTAGTTCCCCCCGTGGAAGCTGTTCCAGCGGCGCACGGGCGCTCGCTGGCTGCCTCCGAAGCTTGTGGCTTGGTCTGCTGGTAACGACGGCGGTGCTTGTGGTGGATTCGAGGACGAGGACAGGCTCGGGGCTCGGGAGCATCGCAGCTGGCCCATCGTGTGCTTCTGCATACTGATCACGATAGACGGTGGTTGTTTTCTTTGGTCGCGGTCGTGGGCAGCCCAAACATCTTCAGCCTGAACCCCCCATCATCCCCGGGGGCTTTTGTGGCTAAGAGCTTTGGAAAGCGTTGGGAAGAGTTTAAAATGAATTTCTGCATACATGCGATTGTCGTAGGTATGTGTGTTTTGTGTGTATCAGTTTTGTAAAGCCGAATACAACGAATTTTCATTTATCGTTCAGGGCATTCGCCAGCGATAACGATATACTACGTTCTGTTGTTAACAAAACAGTTTATAAAACAGCGTATAAGTGCGTACACAACTGATAAAATACTACAACCGGAACAGTGTCTCGTGCTTAAACGCGTGGCGTCCTGTTAGTCGACGCCTTTTGCTCGAGCTCGCTGAAAACTAAAATTACCTCAGAGCTCTCGTACAAATGGGGGAGCCTCGCGTGCCCTCGTTCACCTCCTGCGCGTGTGTTTTTTTTTTTTTTTTATCTTTTTTCCTTTATTCTTATTTGGCTTTTTGCGCGTGGGAAACTGCGCGCGTGTGTCTCTCTTTGAAGGTATACGAGAGCTTTTTTTCTTACCCCCCCTCGCTCCTTTATGTGAACACTCGTTATCGCTGTCGCTTCACCTCTTTCGACTCTTTGGCAATTGTGCGCATGAAGTTGGTGTATGTCAGTGGTGAGTTGGTGATGGTGTTATTTTCTTCTCGCTGATATCCACCCGCAGAGACTGTGTAGATATGTAGGAGGAAAGAAAAGAAAAGTTTTTAACTTTTTTCTTCCTTTTTGCATGTGTATGTGCCTATTGTGTGTACATATACGTCCCCTCTGGGTGCTGAAGAGGGAGGGTGGCCCATGCATTCTTTGCGGTTGGGAGAAAAAATCATTTTCTTCGCGTGATGCCCTTCCTTCCTTCCTCCCAAGGGGGACGAGGAAAACTTTGATGAAAGACGGGCATTGTTTCGGTTACGGGAAAGTTGCAGGGCAAGGGTGAATAAATTTCATTTCTAATATGCTTTTCGGGATTCACGCTAAGAGTTGTGTAACCCCATCTACACGATATACGATACATGGATAGCACGTCTTTCCCTGATTTGGTATGTGCTTTGCATTTTTATGCTAATCGCGGCCCAGGTATTGCCTTTTTTCTCTCTCTCTCTTCATTTCATGCAAATGGTTACCCCAGCCAATGTTTTTTCGGCCTTGACTGACGCTCCCCACGGGCTTATTGGGCTGATAAAAAGGGGTGGCATCACACACACGATCTTTTTATCTGTTATTATTCTGGAAAAGTGGGAGACAATGTATAGGCACGCCTGTTCAGGTGGTTAGGTTCGGCGCTAAATCAAAAGATCGTTGAGCACCATAAAACTGTGAGGAGTTGTTTATGAGGTTGTCGTATATCAAACTTGAAGTGATGAACAAAAGTGTACAGCACTCGGAATCTCTTATGGAGGGTAATAAATCTATGGCGTTATATTTACGTGCGAAAGAGCACAAAAAAATTCGAGGTAGCGAACAAAACAAACAATAAAAAAGTTGTGTATAAATTGGCATACTTCAAATATATAATGTCGATCGATATAGATTTAATTAAAAGATAATACGTGAGTAAATATATAGGTAGTCTCCCTCTCTTACGCTAAAATTGTTCATTCACTGCTAATTTACTCTTGCAAGTGATAAAATACATAATATTAAAATTAATTATAGATCATTTTCTACCGAGTGAGAAAGATCAGAAAATTCGCACATACATATTTACGAGAGATACAAAACGTACAACAGACGCAACTCTTCAAGATTCGAATCAGCGTGACACTTTCGTCACCCGTATACACACTGCTATCTTGTTTCACTCGTTCGCCAAAGTTTCACACTGCCCGATCAACTTTTCACACTTTCACCCCTTCGCACCCTCGATTTCGATACGCGATAATGGACGGAAACTCGCATTCCGTGCAACAAATGTGTGACCGAGTGTACGAAAATACGCCCAACTGACCCAGGAAAAGCAGCCACTACTGCGTGACCCTCATCGTGACATTCAAAACTTTATGGCGCAGTAACGTGTACATTTATATCATCTCTCACCATATCTCCTTGTTTCACTCTGTGTACACGTGCAACTCTCTTTTTCATTGATGATGTTATTTTTTCTTACAATCACAAATTGATTGTAACGTGATATCGTCACTTAGAAACAAAGTTTTTGCAAAAACGCATCCCTTAATTTTGTTATTGTAAAAGTTAAAACGAATACATGAGAATAACAATTACAATAGGTATCACTACCAATCAATACTTATGTAACATCGAAGGATATATTATACCACGCCTTTATTTTTTCCCCAAATAAGGATTACTTCTATAGCAGATTGGAAGATCCAGCGAGACAAAAAGAGAGAAATCAGGTGACATGAGGGAAACTAATGGTTGTCTCTGGGTTAGGTAACGCATGGAAGGTATAATATCACAAACAGATGCGTAAGACTGTCCTTATGTCACCTCACTCCTCGCCCTTCCGCCATAAGCTTGGCGCAAGCCAAAAGCCTCTAGACACGAAGGTTACGACGCCAGCGATGCGGAGAGGAGGTATGAAAAGTTTGAGTGTCAAATGTAGAAGAAGAAGAAAAAAAAAAAACCACAAAGCGAAGTCAATAAGCAGAGGGTAGGACGTTTCTCGGTACTTCCACTTGCAGGTCGGCAGCCCATGCATTCACCGCGAAGCAATTCACGACACACGTAATAAATTGCAACGAGCGGTGAAACGCCTTCGCGTAACGTAGCGAGGCGTGAGTTCTGAAATTAGTTTTAACGAGGAGCAACCGAGAACGCACTCCAACATGTCCTGGATTCAGATCGTTTTTATATTTTGCATATATGCACGAGTACACTTGGTCCATTCACTCAGTAAAAAGCAAAATAGGCACCTTTTTGAAAGCACCCACCCATGTAAGATCCAAGCGACTTATGATATTGCCATTGGACCTCGATTGGACTTGCATGAAATGGCAAGGTGCTGTAATTACGTACGAGCAACGCAGAAAAAAAAAAAGGGAAGGGAGAAACTTTCGTTCACTTGCGAGAGCATCTCCGCGTACAGTCGTGCGTATGGAGTCGAAATAAAGCGAAAACGCGAGGGGACAAAACGAGGGATGTGTGGAGTGAGTACAATATAAATGAGTGTACGGGTAAACACACGGATTGGTGTGTATCCTTATGGGAGGAGGACGGGTTTTTCAGCCCTAATAAGATCACGGAGCACTGCAAGAGAGCCGAATCGGGAAAAGAATGCTTAGTGTAGGTTGCAAGGTGGAATGTACGAAACAATTAAAACACGTCGCAATACGACGAGTGTAGAGAATTCAGAGGAAGCTGCGCGCAAACGGACAAAAGCTCTCTTTCCGCTAAGTTGGTTTGATATAATTTCACGTGATTAAATCGCGACGAGAAAATTGCGTTTTAAAACTAAAACTTGCCAAGCTAGCCCGTGCACGCGGAAGAGAGAGAGGCGCGAGCGTAGAAAAAAAAAAAAAACCACCACGCACCGGTGTGTATCCGATCCCCCGGGCGCGTTAAACGCTCAAGAAGATCCCGTGGCTTCGTCGTGGAGGCGAAACGCGACGCTAAGCTACTTTTTCGAGGCTGACGCTGACACGGGAAAGAGGGGAGGACGGCTAAGAGCTTTTCGGAGCCCTTGTTTTCTCCCTTCCGGCTTTGCGGGGAAACTCGAGTCGAGGTCCGCACAATTTGCCGAGACGAAAGTCGTTGGCGAAATTTTCCGCAACTTTCCTCTTAAGGGAAGAGTATTACGCTGGATGGTATACACGTATATATATTATATATACATACACGCGAGGGGCTTCTGAATACTTCTCTATGGGACCTGGAGGGGCTGATGAAGCGAAAGCTCTTCTCGTTATTATTCTTTCCCTCCTCTCTCTACTTTATCCCCGACGTATAAGCTACATACGCTAGAAAAATTGGATTTTCGGTCTTTGTCATATTGTATTATACATGTATACTCATAAATCGATGGTGGGGTATACACATATTCACATACATGAGTGTACCATATGAAAGCAATGGATTTTTTACCACCGGAGATTATTGGAAAGGCTAATTGTAACATTCTAGCTGTTAGGCTGAGTGGCGAACAAATTAAGAAATGTCCAGTTATTACGTGTAGGTCTAGCGATGACGTAGATTCGCGACTTCGCGAGGCATTGAAAGCATTATACATAGGTCAAAGCTAGAAAGAAAAGGGGGCCATCGGAGGTGAAATTACTTTTTTACGCCGTCACCTAGAAAGAACTTTTTGGATTCCTGGAAAAAAGCTCTCGGCTTTTACAAGTGCATGTGGAACTAACGTATGTAGGAATAATGATATTTTACGAATATTCATGCAGCGTTCAATTCTTTGATGCAAGTGTACTATTTGTATACTATACCCACGAGCTGTTGGCTTAAGTAGGTTTTTTTTTTTTTAAAACACGCAATAAATCGTCATGGTTTCGATCGATGGACAGCTAGGGTATGAAAAAGAAAAAATGGCATTCGAAGTCAGAGTAAAGTCCAAGAGCAGTGGTGAGAAACGAAGAAAATCAAAGACGAAATAAATGCACTCGTCGTACGGCGCACATACAATAAATTCCAAGATATTCCATACGCTCGAGGAATTTCCACAAGATTAATTGGCTGGGCTTAGCACGAGTCAAAGAAGAAGAAGGTACGGAGCGCGTGAAATAATTTTCAGGTGCACTCACTTCGATGCCATGGCGTATTATATACAGCGCTGCCTTGCTCGTGTCCGCGAACGGAAAACGCGAAGATTTGTAAAGGTCGCAAATCTTCCGCTCGACTCCGTTTTTTCATCGTTATACTCGATCCCCTCCCTTTGTTTCCTTTAAACGCTTAGTTTTTTCCATCTTTGAGGAGCAATATTTTCACGAATTTCCAACGGCACTTGTGTACTCGGCTGAAACAACGTTGTAAAAAAAATGACTTATTACTTCACTTTACTTTACATCCGTGTCTGTACGGAGGTAGAGTATAAAATAAAGTGGGACGAAAATTTTCGACTGCAGTGCACTGTAATAAGCG